TAATAACATATAATGTTAAATAATAATTAAATATATATTTTAATATGTATTATAACAACCATAATAAATAAATAAATATAAACTTACTTACAATCTCTCGCCCACATCCTTCGTACGTGATCGACTGTACAGGAAGCGCAATTTAAAAAACGTTTGCTTTTTGTTGTTCTTCAGAAATATAATTTTGCGAGAATCGAGGTTCCACCTTTTATTTGGTCTTACTTTCGACCACATAAAATTTTGTCATCATATCATAAACAATTATTTGAAATCATTTTCTTAGTTTATAATCTGGACAAATTATTTGATTAATGAAAAGAAAGAATATCATTTCATAACCGTTTATAATCAAAGAAAACTTGCATTTATTCTCTAATAAACGCATCTGTCATTGTAATGAAAAAGACTTGTTCTTACTTACAATGACCGGACAATTTTATTATAATAACAAATATTATTTTTAATATCCGTTGTTTACATGTCACCGTTTAACCTAATTGGTATGTTTTAATTTAGATTTTGTTTCTCCTTTTCAGTAATATAAAAAACTTCAAAGATTTACATATCTACCGTTTTAAAAGTTATTTTTTACACTATATTTGATGCAGAATGATTGAAAGAAATTGTATTAAATTCTGCTGAAAGTATTTTTGCTTAACATTTGTAACCGGAGAAATATAAATGCATAATGTATAGAATTTTATTTTTCATTTCTTTTTGATAGTGAACATTCCTGTTTCAGTATAGACAATAAGTTTACACTAGAAATATATTGTATATTTATACTAATTATAAAATTAAAATAAATTAAGTGTAAATCGTTTTTGTCCTGAAGTGTTGCAATAAATGTAATTATTCATTCGGTTTGTGGTGGTTAACGGAAGTGTCGATCGATTAAATAAATAAAATTGCGATTTGGTTCAATATTAACATTATTATAAAATAATAGCATTCAGTGTTCGTTTTCCTTTGCGGAAAATGGATCATTTTAAGTTTATAATCGGTGCTTTAATTTATTTGTGCATGGTGCAATATTCGAAAGGAATAACGACTGTTAGCCAAAAAAATAGTGGAAATGGTAAAATGGAAACCTACTGTGTTACAAACAATGAAAGCGAAACTTTAAGTTGGATAACACCGTATGATAAATCGTTTTATAATTTAAAAAGTAAGTGTTTCTTGTTGCTTATTATAATATATAATAAAACATATCTTTTATTTAAGGTGATGATTCAAGTGATATTACTGAATTCCTTCCTAATTATTGGCTATTTGAAAATAGTTTCTATTCTTATTTAGGACCAGTTGTAGATCATAGATGGCAAAGTTAATTGCGCGATTTATGTTGGTTGATGAGTGACTACATTATATTTTATTTTTAGATTTCGAAACGTTTGTAAGTAAAAATAATCAAGAAGTAAATAAATATTTGAGACAAAAATTGGAAGAATACTTTGAATTAACGTTTTCTATAAAATATGACGAGGATGCAGAAATGACAATTTATTCTTATAAGAATTTGAAGCAAACAATATCATTTCAAAATAATATACTAACATCACAAATATGTTCAGATAAAACTTCGATCCATTATTGTGATAAATATAATAATATAAAAGAGGTATATAATATATTTCAAGATAGAATAATGAAAATAACAATATGTTTTTCAGAATTTGGAAAGATTTTCACAATACAGTAAATATTCGTGGAATCACTATACTATAAGATATAATAAAGACATATATACTTTGTTACTGAATGGAATATCTATAGCAGAAGATTATATTCCTAACTATGGTCTAAGTAGCATTTATATGAAATCGATGAAAGGCGCAATTTGGAAACTGCACATATGTGATTATAATATAAATCGATTAAAAATGTATTTAAACTATTTACTTTTTTAGATGAATATTATCGAACGGATAGTACTGTAAAGGAAATTTTGTTTTTGAATGACATACAGGCTTCTAACAATAAGTTATGCATGTCCGCTTATTTTTATTTTGATCATGAATTAATAATTCAAATAAAACAAGATAAAAATATCATTAAGGAGATCACATTTAGAAATGAAAAAGTATTGTTGTATTAATGGAATATATAATTTATTAAATAAAATATTTTAGAAATGTTGGAAATTCATCAAAATAGTACAAAATGTGCAAGACGATAAAAAACCATACATATTTTGGTTAAAATACAGAGAGCAGAGTGATCTTCTTTTTAGTCATATTAAACTAAATTCAGATTGCGATATGGATATCAATAAAATTTATACGGAATTTCATACTAGTCTAATAAGTCAAGTTTCTTGCGAATCTTTGAACAATCCGAGTTCATCCATTACAATAGGCGATAGTAATAAAACAATAGCTATTATATTTTGTATAATATTATTTTCTCGATAGTAATTAACATTTTTACAGGTAGCAATTGTTCAATCGATAAATTTGGAAACGACTGCATCAAATGTAAATCTGTCTTTAACACGGATATTTGCGAGGAAACGCTGACCTGTGTAGAGACAAACAAATGCTACTGTCAACCAGGATACTATGGAAAACAATGCAAACCAAGTACATACAAATATAATCGCACATCAGAAATAATTAATTATTTATTTTAAGAATGCGACAACCTGAAGACAAACGTATTTGGATCGAATTGTAATGAGAAATGTGGTAACTGCAAAGATAAGGCACAATGTCATCATATTACTGGAAACTGTCCGAACGGATGCGAAATGTATTTCCTAGAGCCATTCTGCAATGAGAGTAAATCATAACAATGAAATTAACTTAAAAATTATTAATTACAACATGGTACTCGTTCATAGATTATCTGAAAGTAGTTGAGCTTTATGGAATCTGGAATGATGATGAGATTTTGATGTTGAGGTGGAACATACTTAAGGATGAAGAAGGAAAAGAACGAGTATTTCAAATTAGTCATGATAGGAAAGACATTGCCTTTGCTGAGACTCAGGAAAACTATTACAAGGTGATTCAATACATGTTAAAATTTATTAAATATCTAATTCGTATTACTCAGGTGCATTCAACATTTATTTGTCCACCAAAGAAGCAATTTTCAGAGCTTGCAGTGAGGAGAAAGATAGATAAAGACGTAACTGAATGGTTTAGAGTAGAAGTCGCATGTCCTCCATCGCCTCCCACCTTTGGTAATAATCCGATTATAGCAATTCCTTTTGGTTCTTCTACGTGTAGTTTCAAGTTAATGCTGCCTCCGTTCCTAAATCCCACCAATCGCAGGTATGAGCATCTTTATTAGTGCATATTAAACAAACATACTATAATGTCTTTGTTACATCAGTTTCATAAGCGTCTTCGTTGAGCAGACAGATTATGAGGGAACGAAAGATGATTGCGATCCGAACAAGTTGGGTCTGAAGACGACCTTCGCTCTTCCTTCTATTCATCTAGCTGTGCATATTAAACTCACCAAACCCTATGACATGTTGACCATTGATATCGGTGAAGC